ACTCATGATTAAACCAGCTGGCTCATATTAGCTAATCACGATCCTTCAATCAAGGATCCCTAGTTCCCATATATATCTCCTCCTTTTCCACTTACAACTATCTTCGTCTTGAAGAATCCCCCCTCCTCCCCCCTCTTCCACCTTTATCCAAAATAGGTAGCTCGGCGGCCCAGCAGCAATACCAATAGCTCCGGCTACCTACTGAGCTTCTGCTATCTCTGTGCGGCGCTAGCCTGAAGTTCTCTCTCTCTCTCAAAAAAAAAAACATTTCTCCGCATCATAGACCTCTTAAACCTACGACTAAAAGTAGTCTTCTCGCTCTCAGGAAGTTCACCTTGGCTAGCTGCAGGGGAGTTTTGAGATCGCCCTGAGCTCAATCTCCCTTCGCCCCACAAAGGGAGGGAGCCCTGGACTCGAGGAATGCCTTGAGCTCAGGGCTCTCTCCCGGGAGAGCATGCCAAAGGAGCGTTCGTAAGTCATGAGCTAAGTGTGAACTCTTGAAAGGGGAATTGAATAAGCTAAATTATCCGTAGTGTATGAGTGTGAATGTGAGAGCGTATGGGTGTTTCCCAGTACTTTCTCCTTCTGCCTAAAACATAAGCTGGATAAGCTGGCAGTTGATTCTGCTGTGGGGACCCCAAATAATTAAACGGACTAAACTGAAGTAAAATGACTGAATGGAGAAAAATAATAATAATACAAATGTACAGGCTACACAATGATCACACTTTTACTTACTTGGAGTGGGTGATCGCTGCTTCACCAGTGAGTTTAGGGTTCTGACGCACAGATTTGAATCTCTTCATGGACACAGAGCTGGGTTCTGGATATGTTGCTTTACGTTTCTGAATACAACCCCTCTCCTTTCTCTGTATATAGAGCCTTGTTTTACAGGCAGCACTTCTGAAACAGAGCAAAATCAGACTTCATTTGGGAGCGCTGTTGTCAAAAATCTGTTGGTCATACATACAGTTGAAGTCAGAGTTATTAGCCCTCCTGAATTATTAGCCCCAATTTCTGTTTAACGGAAGGAATTTTTTTTCATAATAGTATTAATAACTCATTTCTTATAATTAGTGGTGGGCCGTTATCAGCGTTAACGCAACACTTATCGCGCGATAAAAAAAATATCGTTGTTAATCTATTCTCAAAGTTGGGTTGGGAGCTGGGTCTATTCTACGCAAGCTATGATGACTTTCACCTTGATATTTTTGTGCAGATGTACACCTGACCGGTGCGCCGTCTGACAAAAAAAAAATTATTTTCTTTTTCATTTTTTGTGACCTGTTTTAACACATTTTAATGAGTTTTTAATAGGGATGTAACGGTATCAAAATTTCACGATTTGGTAATACCTCGGTATGAATGGCACGGTACGGTATTTATTGAATCATTTAAAGGAAAAACAAAACTATTGAAGAGACTCAAACAAAGTACTAGAATGTTCAGGTTACCTCAACACTAAACAGATCAAGGTGTCACGGGTAGAAGAAGGAGTGAACTCAAGTGCAGAACACAAAGTGTTTATTAAGGAGAAAGTCTTTGCAAAGGAACAAAAAACCCAATCGGGTGAGTGCCGTGGAAAACAGTCCAGAAACAACGGGAGACTCGTTCACTGGCAGCCCTGGACACAAATATGGGGTGAGTAACAGACCGTTATACACACACACCAACGACAACAAACTGACAAACATGAAGGGAAGTGACGTGCTATAAATAGGAACAAAGGGATGAAAAACAGGTGGAGCGAATCACTCCGAAGACCTGTGAATACAAGAAAAGCAGGTGACTGAAGGTAATCTGTAACATAGAACTGGAGAGAGTGAGAACACAAGGTACGGTGACACAAGGACATACAAATGATCTATCTGTAAACTTTCAAACAGGAACTTAAATTATTCAATTTTAATAACAAAAAATATTAAACCATGTAAAAAAAAAACACTACTCAAAAGGACAAGCCATGAGTGAGATAGAGGTCTCTTGGTGGTACAAGTCAATAGCCCCTTTCACACATACACATCTTTCCGGAAAATTGCCGGCAATTTTCCGGAAAGGTTGTAAGTGTGAACAGGTCCTTTTTGAAAATACCGGTAAATTCGTTCTGGCTATTTTCCGGAAAGAGAAGTTGTAACATTACCGGCAATTTGCCGGAATGCTGCGCTGTGTGAATGCAGAAGGAAGATTGCCGTAATAAGCGCGTGCACGTCTAGAACGTGCTGACGTGAGACGTCTGCTTTAGCCAATCAGAACAGTCAGACGCATTTACGTCCGCGCGGTTTGTGAGGATAAAAGCCTTTGAATATTTTTCCAGACACATTTAGCTGCTAGAAGTTAGTCAGATCACGTTTATATGTTCATCTTAATGCCAACTGTGTAAATAATCTTCGATGAGATGCTTATGATAAGCCGTTGTTTGTTTACCTTTAAGCTTTGCGTGCGCCTATGAGCGCCTGCACACGCACATATTATGAACATCTCGAAATGCGAAAGTGATCCTGCGAAAGTTGTTCACAATATTGATCATCCACAGAGTTTGTAATTTAGTCAAATGTTTACAAACACAAGCGCAGCCGTTTAAAGCTCATTTGTGGTGAATGATGTCAGAATTTACCGGTATTTTGGAATGGATGTGTGAATGCTCTTTTCCGGAAAATTTCCGTAACGTCCTCGCCTGTGTGAACAGCACTTTTTTGAATATACCGGTAAAGTCGTTCCGGAAATTTTCCAGATATTTACCGGTATCACTGTGTGAAAGGGGCTAATGTCTCCATGAATCTGAGCAGTGTGCTGTGTTCTGCTGTCCCCTTGACTAAAAGAATCCCCATCATGTTAGTCGTATTCCCCGACTTGTATTTCAGCACAGTCTGGCAGTGCCTGCAAACCCTTTTTCTGTCACCTTTTCTTCTTTCTTGTTTCTTTTCAGAGAGAAACTGAAATGCTTCCACACATCTGATTTAAAACTCGCTTTAGGTTCGATCATTTCCAGCTCTTTTTCTTTGCCGCTACTAGCAGCACACTCCATTTCTGCATTACTTGACCTGTAGCGACAACAGACCGCAAAGGATGATGGCCAAACTGTAGTTTCCGCTACCACCAATTAGCCTGAGCAAACTTTTCACCAAAAGATCTATGATTTTATTGAGTCACAACCACGGTAATATTGAAAGAAATCGCTATTGCGGTAAGACGGTATTTACAATATTGTTACATCCCTAGTTTTTAATGATTTTAGTTGTTTGTTTTTTATTTTCTTATACTTGTCTGTTTTATTTCTGTTTATGCAAAACACTTTGAATTGTCACTGTGTATGAAATGTGCTATATAAATAAACTTGCCTTGCTTTTGATGCAATTGGTTAGTCTTGACACATTTTTGCAGCTGATTACTCTTAAAATGAGTACAGGCCACAAAAATATTACATTTTTGGCTTTTTTACAAGTTGTAATAATAATTAAATGCATTATGCTTCTTATTCTCAAGATGTTAGGTGACGTGACCCCACGTTTATTTAATGAATGTAACTGTTTCATAACATGGTTTTGCAAAATTGCACCAATATACACTTACCGGCCACTTTATTAGGTACACCCAGTAGTATCGGGTTGGACCGCATTTTGCCTGCAGAACTGCCCTATACCTTTGTGGCACAGATTCAACAAGATACTTAAAATATTCCTCAGAGATTTTGCTCCATATTGACATGATGGCATCACGCAGTTGCTTCAGATTTGTCGGCTGCACATAATGCCAATCTCCTGTTCACCTCTACATCCCAAAGGTGCTCTATTGGATTGAGGTCTGCTGACTGTGCAGGCCATTTGAGTATTGTCATGTTCAAGAAACCAGTCTGAGATGATTCACGCTTTATGACATTGCACATTATCCTGTGTAGCCATCAGGAGATGGATATATTGTGGTCATTAAGGGATGGACATGGTCAACAACACTACTCAGGTAGGCTGTGGTGTTGACTCGATGCTCAATTGGTACTAATGGACGCAAAGTGTGCTAAGAAAATATCCTCCACACTACTACACCTCCACCTGAACCATTGATACAAGGCAGGATGGATCCACGCTTTCATGTTATTGATGCAAAGTTTTGACCCGACCATCTGAATGTGGCAGCAGAAATCAAGACTCATAAGACCAGGCAACGCTTCTCCAACCTATTGTCAAGTTTTGGTGAGCCTGTATGAACTGCAGCCTCAGTTTTTTGTTCTTATCTGACAGGAGTGGCACCCAGTGTGGTCTTCTGCTGCTGTAGCCCATCTGCCTCAAGGTTGGACGTGTTGTGTGTTCAGATAATGCTCTTCTGCAGACCCCGGTTGTAACGAGTGCTTATTTGAGTTACTGTTGCCTTTCTATCAGCTGGAACCAGTCTGGCCATTCTCCTCTGACCCCTTGCATCAACATGGCATTTGCTCCCAAACAGCCGTTCACTGGATATTTCCTCTTTTTCAGGCTATTCTCTGTAAACCCTAGAGATGTTTTTGCGAGAAAATCCTAGTAGATCAGCAGTTTTTGAAATACTGAGACCAGCCTGTCTTGCACCAACAACTATGCCACATTTAAAGTCACTTAAGTCCCCTTTCTACCCCATTCTGATGCTCAGTTTGAACTGCAGCAGATCGTCCTGACCATGTCTACATGCCTAAATGCATTGAGCTGCTGCCATGTGATTGGCTGATTAGAAATTTGCATTAACAAGTAGTTACACAATACCTACTAAAGTGGCCATTGAGCGTATAATGTCCATTCTCACTGACAAATAGATAAAATATTAATTAATGTTGTTTTCATTTATGCTAGGCATCATACAGTATATACTGAAATGCTCAATGTATTAAAGGGGCTTTTTAGGCTAAGATGTAAACTAAGTCTCTGATGTCTCTAGAATGTGTGTGAATTTAAATAGATTTGACTTGATTTACCTGTTAAATTAAACTGGGAAATGTCTCACTGTAGTGCTGAAAAACAAACTGTACTCACTCAGAGTCAGAGGCTCCATCACGGAGAGCAGGTGGATGATGCATGGATGTGTCGCTCTTTATAGACACACAGCAGGGTTGTGGAGATGATGCTTTACGTTTCGAACCGGAAACATGTCTCCGCTTATTAGAGCTTATTTTAGGTGCAGTACTACTAAAAACACAGCAAAAGAATGTTGGTTATGATCCTGGGTTTCTGCAGGCTTTACCAAGTTAACTGTATGACATTTTAAGACCTTTTTAAGACCATTAAGAATGACATTTCAGACTTATACAGGGCTAAACAATAAGGATTTAGTGTAAGCAAGCAAAAGAAAAAAAATTCTTGCCCCATCAAGAAACAAATTCTAATTAGTAATTTTTTTGGTCACATATTTTAAATAATGTGTTGAATCAAGCAGACCATAGTTGTACACTTGGCATGGGCCACACTGTAAAAAAAAAAAAAGTAATATAAGGGTGACCGGGAGGGAGACGCACGATTACTGGGAGATCCTCATTCGTTTGCGGGCATCCGGAGACTCGCGAAACTTCCCGCCCTACTCATAATTCTCTCTTCATATAGTCGTAAGCCTATTACATATCCATAAAACACTGATATAACCGCGCTCGGATCATATCGCTTTATTACTGCAATAGATCCCCTCCAGAGTTTATTTCAATCGAGCCGAGACCACCTCACTCAAGCGATCTCGGAGAGATTGATTTGGCGCGGATCCGAGAGTGATTACTGGATTCACATATGCCAAAAGAAACCACGCTAACTGGGCAAACGAGACAGGTTCTGAAACAAAAGTCCAGGTTTGAAAGCACCCTTACAGAAAATATCTCTACATTTCTTACAGTAATTTTTGTCATTTCAAATTATATTCAAAACTTAGTGAAATGACAAACAATCTCTCTAAACTAACAGTTTGACTTTCATTTGAGGTACTTTATCATTACTGACATTTTTGTTTTTTATTCAGTATTATTGATACAGTATTTTTTCTGTTATATTAAATTATATTCAAAGTCAGTAAAAATTACAGACATTAGCCCCTTTCACACATACAGACCTTTGTATGTGTGAACAGGTCCTTTTTGAAAATACCGGTAAATTCGTTCTGGCTATTTTCCGGAAAGAGAAGTTGTAACATTAGCAGCAATTTGCCGGAATGTTTGTTTACGTTCGTGTGCCTGTGAAACAGCCTGTGAGCGCCTGCACACGCACATATTATGAACATCTCGACATGCGAAAGTGATCCTGCGAAAGTTGTTCACAATATTGATCATCCACAGAGTTTGTAATTTAGTCAAATGTTTACAAACACAAGCGCAGTCGTTTAAAGCTCATTTGTGGTTAATGATGTCAGAATTTACCGGTATTTTGGGATGGATGTGTGAATGCTCTTTTCCGGAAAATTTCCGTAACGTCCTCGCCAGTGTGAACAGCGCTTTTTTGAATATACCGGTAAAGTCGTTCTGGAAATTTTCCAGATATTTACCGGTATCACTGTGTGAAAGGGGCTAATATCAAAGTTACCAGTTTGACTGTTATTTTATCTACTATATAATTAATGACACATTACAGCAATTTTACTGTTTTATACAATGAAATAGCCGTATTATTTACACAGTGTTTTTCCTGTTTTTTTAGGTAAATTTAAAATTACGTAAAATTAATGTAATAAATTGTAATTACTTGCGCTGTAAAAAAACAAATATATATATATATATATATATATATATATATATATATATATATATATATATATATATATATATTGTAAAAAAAATATCGAAAAAAAAAAGGTCAAATGACTGGCAGCTATGGCTGCCAAACAAAACCCATCACACTGTACTCACTCAGGGTCAGAGGCTCTATTACGGAGAGCAGGTGGATGATGCATGGATGTGTCGCTCTTCATAGACACACAGCTGGGTTGTGGAGATGATGCTTTACGTTTCCGCCCAGAAACATGCGCTCTTCTCCCGGTATTGGGCCTCAGTTTAGCTGTAGTGCTGCTAAACACATAGTACATACAGTAAATATACAATAATTGAATTTAGATGCAGTACCACTGAAAAAACAACAAAGTAATGGCTTGTGATGATCAGATTTCATGCAGTTTTAAATATTGTAAAAACTATTAGCAGGAGCAAAAGGAAGTTTCAGACTAGGAAATATTAAAGCAATGATAATATTAATTAATAGTAATAATAAGGATGATAATTTAAAACTCTACCGTAGACCTGGCATGATCTAAATAAACTGTGTTTTTTGCAAATGTCTCATAGTAGCAGTGAAATCACACTGTACTCACTCAGGGTCAGAGGCTCCATCACGGAGAGCAGGTGGATGATGCATGGATGTGTCGCTCTTCATAGACACACAGCTGGGTTGTGGAGATGATGCTTTACGTTTACGGCCAGAAACATGCGCTCTTCTCCGGGTTTTGGGCCTCATTTTTTAACTGATAAACACATCATACATACAGTAAATATACAATCATTTAGAAACATAATAAGAATATGAACATTAAGGCAGAGGGGTTGCATTGTAATCCATGGTGAGCTGAAGAAAAAAAATGCTCACCAAATGCAGGCTAAATAACGGCCTGCCAAGAAGAATATAATATAATATATTTTTAAACAAACTTTTAAACGTCAGAAAAAAAAAGCTGTGGCGCAGTAGGTAGTGCTGTCGCCTCACAGCAAGAAGGTCGCTGGTTCGAGCCTCGGCTCAGATGGCGTTAATGTGTGGAGTTTGCATGTTCTCCCTGTGTTCGCGTGGGTTTCCTCCGGGTGCTCCGGTTTTCCCCCACAGTCCAAAGACATGCGGTACAGGTGAATTGGGTAGACTAAATTGTCCGTAGTGTATGAATGTAAATGGGTGTGTATGGATGTTTCCCAGAGATGGGTTGCAGCTGGAAGGGCATCCACTGCGTAAAAACTTGCTGGATAAGTTGGCGGTTCATTCCGCTGTGGCGACCCCGGATTAATAAAGGGACTAAGCCGACAAGAAAATGAATGAAGAAATAAATTAGGGTGTCGTAATTTTTACGTTATTGTAAGTTATTTTGCTAGATTAGATCCAGATTTGGCTTCAGTACTGTCTAAATTAATGAATAAACTCAAATATAACATTCTAACGCTTCCTATAAAATAAAATATACATTTAAAAGACAGATTTGTGTGGGGTGTTGCTGTTTCACTCAAGCAACTATACACTCACTGGCCACTTTATTAGGTACACCTATCCAACTGCTGGTTATCACAAATTTCTAATTAGCCAATCACATGGCTGCAACTCAATGCATTTAGGCATGTAGACATGGCCAAGATGATCTGCTGCAGTTCAAAATGAGCATCAGAATGGGGAAGAAAGGGGATTTAAGTGACTTTGAATGAGGCATAGTTGTTGGTGCCAGACGGCCTGGTCTGAGTATTTCAGAAACTGCTGATCTACTGGGATTTTCACGCAAATCTCTAGGGTTTACAGAGAATGTTCTGACAAAGAGAAAATATGCAGTGAGCGGCAGTTCTGTGGGCGCGAATGCCTTGTTGATGTCAGAGGTCAGAGGAGAATGGCCAGACTGATTCCAGCTGATAGAAAGGCAACAGTAAATCAAATAAGCACTCGATCCAACAGAGGTCTGCAGAAGAGCATCTCTGAACACACAACACATCCAACCTTGAGGCGGATGGCTCAGTTAAGAACAGGAAACTGAGGCTACAATTCACACCGGCTCACCAAAACCTGACAATAGAAGATTGGAGAAATGTTGCCTGGTCTGATGAGTCTTGATTTGTGCTGCAACATTCAGATGGTCGGGTCAGAATTTGTCATCAACAACATGAAAGCATGGATCCTTTCTGCCTCGTATCAACAGTTCAGGCTGGTGGTGGTGGTGTAATGGTGTGGGGGATATTTTCTTGGAACAATTTGGGCCCATTAGAACCAATTGAGCATCATGTCATTGCCACAGCCTACCTGAGTTAATGTTGCTGACCATGTCCATCCCTTTATGAGCACAGTGTACCCATCTTCTGAAGGCCACTTATACACTTCATAAAGCGTGAATCATCTCAGACTGGTACTGAACATGACAATGAGTTCACTGTACTCAAATGTCAGTATGGACCAAAATTTCTGAGGAATATTTCCAGTACCTTGTTGCAGGGGCGTAGATTTAGGGTGGACGGTGGGGACGTGTCCCCACCAATATCCACAAACTACCGAAATGTCCCCACCAATAATTTAATTCACTTAAAACATCGCGCTGTCAGTATAAACCTGGACATGTCGAAAGGGTTAAATCACGTTCTCTCCTCGAGTCGCACCGCCCCCAAACACATTTGAACATTGTGATTGGCTGTGCTTTTCCCTGCTGTAATGTGAGTGGCTGCTTTCAGATCATAGTTTCAGATACAAACAAGCGCCAAAACAACTGCGCGGGGGGAATTTCCCAATGTGTGATGTGTGTGACACGCACAAGTGAGGATGGAGGTAGCAAAAAAAGGTAAACATAAAGAGCTTTTTTCAACGAAAAGTGTAAGTCACATAAACTCAAGTTTGCTACTGAATGAGTCCATCATGATAATGCCGTTATGCTAGTGTTTTCACCGCTTTTACGGTCAGTCGAATGTTAAAACAGACTGATATAGTATGTAAACAATATTCCCTGAAAAATAACTGCAGAAAAAACACCTACATGTAAACGTATGACCCTGCCAGTTCTTCTAATCTCTTAGAGTAACATCTCCAAGTTCAGGTGAAACAATTTGTCAGAAAAACTACAGCCTGTGCTTCATCTTTCAATAATATGAGACATGTTTAATTTGTATGAAAAATGAACAAAAGTCTTTATTAAACTCTCTCTATATCAATTAATAAACATTATTTTAACATGACACTTCCAGGCCTGTAGCCAGCTTATTGAAAGGGGTTATTTGTTTTCTGAAAAACGGAACCTTTTTGCAGTTATTCACCTGATTTTCTGTTTAATTGAGGTATAAATATGACATTTTAGTGACATATTAAGAACTATTTTTTGCTGGATAATCTTGTTGGATAGTTATTACATCTACTATTTTTGATGTACAAACTATTTCCTACCATTTTGTCAAATTGCTTTATTTACATATTTAAACTGTAAGTTTTATTACAGTTTTATAAATAATAAAAATACTTTGAACTATAAATTAGGACTTTAAATTCTTAGAATAAAGAAATGAAGTACAGTACAGATGCCAAAACCTCCAAATGCAATGTAAAGTGAGCATTTTTCTCAGCCTTGTATATTTATGTTCAGTTATTTCACTTTAAAGGCAATGAAAATAATGTATTTGTCACTATAAAAGTAAAATCCCAGTCCACACACTGGAGTTGGAGAAAAATGCTAATTTTAGAAGAAAATATTAAATGGCATTTAGAGTTTTTTTGCATCTAAACTCTTCAAATATGTAAATATACTTATTTTTAAAATACAATTTTTATCATAATTTTCTTTGGGAAATCTGTTAAAACTTGATTTAAATTAAAAACTGAAGCCTATAGGCAAATAACAAACTGGCCGGTGCATTCAACCTTCCTCAGTGAGAATTTATCCATTTGAGTAACAAGATAAATTCAAACATAATAATAATCCAACTTTTGGTCTTTCAAAACACCTGACCCCTCTTAGCTACACGCATGACTATTTAATTTAACTTAATAAATTGTAAGAAAAGAGGATTACTTAATAATACATTTTAATAGCAGTTAAATAATAAATAGCGATATATATAAATATATATATATATATATATATATATATATATATATATATATATATATATATATATATATATATATATATATATATAAACAATATTCATTCTTGGCGGGGGTGACTCGTCCTCAGTCCCCACCAAAGTCAAGCGCAAACCTACGCCCTTGCCTTGTTGAATCTATGTTATGAAGAATTAAGGCAGTTCTGAAGACAAAAGAGGGTCCAACCCGGCACTAGTAAGGTGTACCTAATAAACTGGCCAGTGCGTAGAGCATGTGGTAGGCTATACTGTAAATTGCGATGCATCGTACTTTTTTTATTTGTTTGTTATTAAAGGGGTAAATTTTGGTCAATTTACCCCAATTGATTTTTCACTATAGCAACTATAGAATTCACAACAAATTACTTTAAACATCTATATAGTATTTTTTTCATATCGCCTATGCCCTTTTCATTAATCAGTCTTTTCGCATTTCGTTACGTGAGTCTTTTACAGTCGCAAAAAACAAAACAAACCAATTTGGTAAAGAACGTCACTTGCATTCTCCCGTTATTTCAGTATTAACCCTTTGATGCACAAGCTATAAAATAGATATAGAAAAAACAAACGTAGACGGGTCACTTTAGACCCATGTAGAGCATCTAAGGGTTAAAAGAGTTTAACGACGGTGTTCTTCACGTCCTGCTTTCATCCGTCGCACTCAGTTGAGGAATTTGCTCATAGAGGAAACGAGTCTCACACGATCAAAACAGCAAAGGGAACTACACTAAACTGAGAAAACGGGAAAAACAAAATGTGACTTACACATTTCTCACACATAATTAGGCTACAGATAAAGATTTGCTATAATGAAGCACAATTGAATGCATTTAGGACACTACATTGTGAACAAATGTGTTGGTTTTACTAGCCTACATAAAACGGGCTACCACACGACTTCTCACTGCGTAAATCCATAATAAAAGTTATAAAATAAAGCATTCAATACTGTATTGCACGTGATATTCATTTTAAGCACACCTTTCACGAAGGGTAGAACCTACCAGTGTCGGTCTCAACTCAGACGACCATCAAGCACAAACTTGATCCCTTTGATTTCCTGTGGAAATATCGGGCTTTCACTTTCGACTTAATCACATGATCTAATTGGAAAAGGGAAGGCATCCCTCTGTGAAAATACATGAATACATGTTTACAGTAATGCTGCATTTTATTTGACACGTCACTGTAACACTAATACTATACGTTAAATATTAAAATGGTCTGAACTCATTTAATATTAATAGCAACTAACAGGATTCCTTAAAGTCTACAGCTTACATATTTTTTAAATGTACTGCACTTGATTTATATCGAGATTAATTAACATAAATGACAACAATAAATAACAATAAATAAAATAAAACAAACATTATTAGAGTTCTCAACATCGATTTTATAATATTGAGCATATATCTGTTGCAGATAAAATAAATGTCAATGACTAACGTCCTAATAACAATCACCAATGTGTGTGGAAATCTATCTATCTATCTATCTATCTATCTATCTATCTATCTATCTATCTATCTATCTATCTGTCTATCTGTCTATCTATCTATCTATCTATCTATCTATCTATCTATCTATCTATCTATCTATCTATCTATCTATCTATCTATCTATCTATAATCTACCTGTCTGTCTGTCTGTCTGTCTGTCTGTCTGTCTGTAGACCATTTCAATGTGATCATGTCATTGACCCATGAACATTTCCTGCTTGTTATCAAACTGATAATTGTAACAAGAGGCAATACAATTATAATAACAGCAATAATAATCATATTAATTACAATCATAATAACTTAATGTTAAAACAGCCATCATAACATTATTTGTCAATATGTGGCTCTTTTTGGATTCTCGAAAGACACATACACACACACACACACACACATACACCTATTAAAAAAATTACAAAAAGTAAATAAATAAATGAAAAAAAAAAAAAAAAAAAATATATATATATATATATATATATATTTATACAACAGTTCTGTCTGGTTCTCGAATCTGATTGGCTGATAGCCGTGCAATATTCTGCAATATCAGAACTCCAACAGCATTCCACATTCCATTCACATTCATTTTTTTTTAAATGAACATACAAGACGAGTATAAAGGGCATGCCATCAATTTATTATCATTATTAATAGCATTATTATTATTTACAAAGAGAACAAATTCACTTGTCATGTTCAAAAGCTTAAAGAACATTTCAATTTTCCCCCAGTCACATTGTAAGACATTAAAGTACAACCTTTTTGATTACAGTTAGATTACGGTAACTAGATAACAAAACACAGTGTTTATTTTGGGCTGATGTTTGTTTACTGATCATTGGTCATGGACCAACAAGATTAAAATGTTAGATTAGAATTAAATAAAACAGATAAGTCTTTTCTCATAAAATACCAAATATTAAAAACCAATGGGGTTTAGTTTAACATGTTAAATAGCATCACAAACAATAGAATTTGAGGATTGTACACCTGCAAAAGCTCTGCTATTAAAAGGAAAATAAATCAATACAAAAATGAATAATTATTTAATTATTAATTCAATTAAATAAACAGACCTACATAAAGTTTCATTTAATTCAATAAAAAAATTAAGAAGGCAAACATCTACTGTATATACAACTACACAGTGTACTGTTTACACTTGAAATAAGGTCTTGAAATGCATATTGTTGCACTGCCAGGTGTGTGTCTCTCTCACTAGCTGCGTCCCAAATGGCACACTATACACTATGCACTCATGCACTATGTACTTATGCACTTACACACTCAACAGGATAGTATATGTATGTAGTGTCGTCCCAAATGGCACACTAATGTTTTTTTACTAAGCGGAAATTCTAACCGTTTCCCTGATGACGTTTGACGGTTGCCTAATCAGTGAAGTAAACGACCGAATTATCAAATAATACCTGCCGTGAGTAGAACCGCATTCACCATCGGGAGGCGCTATAATCACTCTCATAGGAGAATTTTGCTTTCACAATCCAAAATAAATAAAGTTATCTAACATGTGCGTCCGATAGCTCCGCCCCTTCCACTACGTAAGCAAACCTGCGGTCGTTGAGTGCGTGAAGTGTCCATCATTACACACTTCCTTTTAGCGGCTGAATGAGTGCATCATCCGGGTAATTAAAGTGCACTTATTATTATTAGAGTTTTCAGTGTGAACACACTACTTACACTATTTATACTACAAAATGGCGTAGATTGCATAAGTATGCGATTTGGGACGCAGCTACTGTCTTTACATCTGCAGGCCCCGCCCTAGTTACGCAGACGAGTGCCCTGGGATTGGATGAAGTGAAGCAGGGCGTCCTTTAAAAAGGGAAAACGGGTGTGGGGCGGGAGATCGATTTTTGGTTGGCGTGTTGTTTTGAGTTTGGTGTGATTATAAAATGATTCTGTTGCTGAGTGTTTTCGTTGATTGTGTTTCCCCTGTTGGTGTGCAATTTTTTTTTTATTCCTAGTTAGGGAGGTAGGGGTAGAATTTGTACTTTTATTTCTGTTATTTTGTTAAGTGTAGTTAGTTTCTGTAACGACGGGGGATGACACACACACAACTGGAGGTAAGATCCACAATGCAGGTTTATTCAGCGCCAGGCAAGCGATGGTCAAATCAGGTGCAAACGGGTATAAACAAGCGGTCCAGAATCGTAGACGTATAAACAGGCAATAGGTCGTAAGGCAGGCGGTTAAACAGGATAACAAGGTTAAGCAAGGCTAAGATCAAGATACGGGAAGACAAGACTAGGGCTGCGTCCGAAACCGCATACTTCCATACTATAGAATACGCTAAAATCAGTATGCGAGCCGAGTAGTATGTCTGAATTCATAGAATTGGAAAATCCGTAGGCGCGAAGTACCCGGATGACTTACTACTTCCGGCGAGATTCTGAAGTGCGCATCCCATGCACGCTACGCTATCCCATAATGCCCCATGAGAGAATTCATGAATGGAAGTGAGGCGACGCAACTGACGCAGGTAGGTCACGTGACCATGACAAAATGGCGGATGTAGTACGTCCAAATACCATTCATACTTTTCACATTCATACTGTATAGAACGCACTTTTCTAACGGCCGAGTAGTACGTTTACATTCAAATGCAGTACCTACTGAGTAGTAGGCGGTTTCGGACGCAGCTCAGGAGAACGCGTTGTAATGTCATCAACAGATTAACAAGACTCGGCCAACTGGATGGGTGAATGAGTGGCTTAAGTAGTGAGTGCAATCAGTCTCTGACAAGGCTCAGGTGGTGAGAATGTAATCAGTCTAGATGTGTGAGCGTGTCCGGAGAGCATGTATGAATATGTAGTCCAGGAGAAGGCGGAAGTGTAGTCCATGGTTAATGTGTGGGAGAACCAGCGATCGTTGGTTATCGTAACAAGTTTCATTTGGGTGTTAATTTAGAGTGTACTTTTTGTTTTTTGTGGGTTCACTCTGAGGTAGTTGACTTTATGTTTTTGGGTGATAAAAAAGACAAAGGGACCCGACATAAGGGTCATTAAAGTTATTTTTATTTGTTTGGTGATCTTTTATGTTGCGGCCTTGACCCTAGACCAGGATCGTAACAATATAACTAATCAAAAAGTTTGTTTTGGTTCAATTAAAGATATAATGCAGAATAATAATTTAATATCTTCATATAGCATGATCTTTACTTTTGCTATTTTTAAGCCAATCTTTTTTTGGCATAAAAGAAATTCACTCATATGCTGTATTTTGCTTTTGACAAAACAAATCCCTTTAAAAAAAATAAGAAGTTTTGTGGTCCAGGGTCACATTTAAACAACTTGTCAACAGTTAACGCTTAGCTGATGACAGATAAAGAGTGTTTGGCATGCTATCCCAGGAGAGAGACCTGAGCTTAGAAGATTCTCAAGCCCAGGGCTCCCTCTTGTTTCGTAGGGCGAGAGGGGAGTCTGAGCTCAGGTAGGTCTCGAGAACTCCCCTGAATGTATTCTTCCGGCCTGTTGTTTGTTTATTAGAGTTTGTGCATTGAAAGCTTAGTACTAAATGCTCATATATGGTGTCATATATATTCACCTATAGCGCATGTCTATGAACTGTGGGAGGAAACCAGGGGAAACCCACTGGAGCACGTGGAGAACTCCAAACTCCACACAAAAACGCCAACTGACCCAGCAGGTACTCGAACCAGCAACCTTCATGCTGTGAGGCAACAGTGCTAACCACTGAGCCACCATGCCACCTTATCCTGGAATAATCTAGGAAAGAGGGGCAGGAGTAGGGGTAGATATAGTGGGATTCTTTAAGGCGAAGATAACTAAGGTAAGAAACTCTAGTTATTTATAGTGTGTTAGGATTCATCTGATTGGTGAGTCATGTATAAGCAAATGCGGGACCAACCGTGGTCAATCATAATCATGTGATCCTCTTGAAATTAGTTTATTAATAAAAGTCACAAATTAGTTTAACAGTGCAATATTGCATTGATCAGTCAAAAAGCTTATAACACTAAAAAAAATAATAATTTGCACCTGCCTGAACCAAAACTTTTCTCTTGGTGTACTTGGGACAAAATCGAATGCTTGCCTTCTACTGATGCAGATCAGGGATATTTAGGGATGTCTAATTTAGACCAAAGTTTTTGTGTGTGTGCTTCTCGAAGTTAGTTAAAGGGAGATGGTGTTTTTCATACACACAGCTGTGTTATGTTAGTTGCTATATATTGACGGCTGTTTAATCTTACACAAAGACACCGAGCTACCACAATAGACTGTAAATCCGGCATAGAGGGGTTCAGTGAATGTGGTGTTGAATGTGTGTAAGTGTGTGAGTGTGTGTGTTTTAGAGACGCTGTAAAAGGATAGAGAACCCGCTGACCAGTCCAGATATACTCCTACTCTGTTAGAGCGATGTAAAGGGGCAGGTATGGCAGTGCTTTTATTATTGTGACTGGCAGCGAGTCTGCCTTTACACCAGTTCAGACTCCAAGACTTTCCATTGAGTCCAAACCAACAGGCATCACTATATTCTTTCCTATTGATTTCTTTGTATGTCACTGATACATTAACCGCATTCCCGCTCCATTCAGCCTCCCAGTAACAGCGTCCAAAAAGACTCTCCTTACACAGAACCTGGTAACACCAATCAAATCTATCTGGATGATCAGGATACGGCTGCTTGTCTTTCACATATGTCACCTTTCGGTTCTTCTCAGACAGAGTAAGACGTGTATTTGCTGTGTTTAAATCCAGCATGAGGTCACATGCATCTGAACACAAGAGAAAAAGATCTAATCTTAGAATCTAAATCTAAAACAAAAACAAATAAGAGTATTAGGCTGTGTGCTTGTGACTTACATTTGTGTGGTCCTGTCATAATCCTGATTCTTCCTCCATGGTCCATACTATAACACAAAAGATTTCCAGAGTCAAAAAAAAGACGTTTATTCAGAAAAGCTGTTCAACCTAAAGTCAATTCAACTTCATAAATGACCTTAACTTTGCTTTCCTAACAAAATAGTGTTTAAGGTCTATTAATTAAAAACTGACGAACTGAAAAGCATAAAATAATACTCATAAAATGAGTACCATGCATATACTATTAAATGAAATTAGTAGTCAGTAATTAGATTTAATGTTTTTTTCTCTCCTAAAGAAAATCTTTTGAAGACCTCAAACTGTACCTGTAAAACTTGAGGTTAAAATACAATAGGAATGTAAATTAAATTTGTACATTTTACAATAGATTAGGGCTGCTTGGTTTTGGGAAAAATCATAATCACAGTTATTTTGGTCATAATTGTAATCACGATTATTCAAAACGATTATCAGTCAAAATTAATAGCGCTCCTGAGAATTTTTTTTTTTTTAATAAAGATTTAACAAATAATGTTTTACAGAGCAGGGAATTTTAACAGCATTTCCTATAATATTTTTTATTCTACAGAAATGCTTATTTGTTTCATTTTGGCTGGAATAAAAGCAGGTTTAAATATTTTGAAGCCTATTTTCAGGTCAATATTATAAGCCCCCTTAAGCGATATATTTTTGATTGTTTGCAGAAGAAACTACAGTTATACAATGAACTGCCTAATTACACTAATTAAGCCTTTGAATCGCACTCTAATCTGAATGAATGCTTGCATTTTGAAAAATATCTAGTCAAATATTATGTACTGTCATCATAGCAAAGATAAAATAAATCAGTAATTAGAAATGAGTTGTTAAAACTATCATGATTAGAAATAAGTTGAAAGAAAATCTTTCTTTGAAACAGAAATTGGGGAGGAAAAGTGTTGCTAATATTCAGGAGGGCTAATAATTCTGACTTCAACAGCATCTATACAGTTATTTTCTACTCTGCAAAGAAAGAAAGAAATACAATAGAATAAAAAAATGAAACAAACTGTGCTTTAAGTATCTTCACCCTAAGAAAAACACTTTAGCTACAAAAATCCTTCAGTCAAGAGCAGTGAGGGATGTTCTCCTTTTGTTGTTTGATTAATGATAAAAACAGGCGGCAGCAGGAACATCACACTGTCTCTTCAATGGTTTTTCTTTCACATGTCTTTTGATTCTCAACTTGTACGTTTATTACACAAATGAGGGTTAATATGAATAATCACTAAACACAGCGTTTAAAGCGCTCACGTTAAGATGACTTTAGATCTGTGCTCTCTGCTCGTCTCAGTGTGCGAATGAGACCAAATGCTGATCGCATGCCTCTGACTGTGTGTGCGCGCACATAAGCACGTGGTCTTTTTAGCTTTTAAGAGCAACATGTGTACAGCTTGAAAGGGGGCGGTATATGATGGAATAATTGTTATCTCGATTAATGCTTTTTCATAATCGTTTGAAGCCAAAATCGAAATGGTAATCGGATTTTCGATTAATTACACAGCCCTACAATAGATTACCATATTTTCTACTCTTTTTGCCATCCACCAATGTTTTATCAACAAAATTTACTTTGTTACACAGACAAAAGCACAATTATAAGCAGGAGTGGATGAGAAAGTCATTATGAACCAATGCTCATCACAAGCAGCTTTTTCCACAAGCAGTAAAGAACCATACTAATCATAGTAATTTACTAAACATAGTAAACATAGTAACACATCAAACTATACATTAATAATGTACATTATTAAATCATAAACATTATCAACATTAGATGTACCATAAAACTCTGATGTGCTTTTCGTAAAAATCCTAGTTACCGCACATTTTTGTATTGCAGTCTCATTACTGCTGTAGCTGGTGTATTCTGACAGAACTATCATACCCCTTTGTTTGTAGTGTGGTCCTGAAAAATCTGTTAAAAGGGCTACATGGCCCTTCCCTATACCCCTATGCCACCAAACTAAAGAGAACTGGGATACCACGACCCCTTCAAATGAACATCCGAAACAAAGGGCTAAGGGTAGAATTGGGTTTGGACTTAGTGTAGATATAAAGAAGTTTTAACATTACATTGTGCACATATTGAACATACTTGAGTTTCTCCAGTCTGTAGTTTGGATCAGAGAGCAGCTTGACTAATGATTGTCCTGGGTGATTGTAGCTCAGATCCAGCACTTCCAGGTGTGAGGGGTTTGAACTCAGAGCTGAAGCCAGAAAACTACAGCCTTCCTCGGTCACCATACAGCCAGATAACCTACACACACACAAACACTCAACATCACATCTCTTTAATTGACTTTGAAAGTCATTGTACAACTTATTTCATACTGGAAAAATCAGTTGACAGAATATGCATTTAATTTTTATCATTCATCTCCTGTAACTGTTTGCTTCAGTACACCACTTATACACAGTTGAATGAACCCAGAGTTACTCTAGCTGAACTTAGCAATCGTGTCTGTTCATCATCACTCTTAGCAAATTTGACATTTTATTCAGTGATTAAATCATTTTCTTGTACAAACTCGGATTCTTTAAGGTGCACTGGTATTTGGTGATATATTAAAGATCAGGTATCAGATTTCATAAACATGTGGAACTTAATCATCCTTACCTCAGTATGTTGAGTTGGCAGTGTGGACTCTTCAGTCCAGCAGAGAGCAGCTTCACTCCTGAATCCTGCAGGTCATTTTGACTCAGGTCCATCTCCATCAGTGAGTTTGAGGATTGTAGACATGAAGACAGTCTTTCACAGCACTGATCAGTGAGACTACAGGCAATGAGTCTATAACACAGGTTGAAATATTGTTTAGTACAGATGAAGTGGCTGTCTTTTATTTTCTAAACCTAGTATTGATAACATTCAAATGGATAATATTTAAATTACCATCTGGAGTAAATCTGAATAATCTACAGAAATAAGGCTAAGATATTATAATATATTATAGCCCTTTCATCCATGCAGAAATACATAGCAAAACATAAATACACATATAATATAGCAAGCATGTCAAAACTCTGTACATTGATATTTTCAATGGTTAAATTAGCATCAGTGTTTTTTATGGTTTTGAAGACCAAAGAATATTTAACACAACAGATCAATCCCAAACAACAATCCCAAAATCTTATGTCGTTCTGCTGATTTAATACAAACTCTCAGATTAGGTACCATTGCAATGGGTCTTTTTCATTTCATACCCAAACAAATCTTTATCCTTCTTTCTTACCTCAGTGTGTTGAGTTGACAACTCTTCAGTCCATCAGAGAGCAGCTTCACTCCTGAATCCTGCAGGTCATTGTGACTCAGGTCCAGCTCCATCAATGATTTTGAGGATTGTAGACATGAAGACAAACTTTCACAGCACTGACCAGTGAGACTGCAGGCAATGAGTCTATAACATAGGATGAAAAAAAGTAGATGGTGGGTTCACATCAGGGAAGTCCCAAGTCTTCTGATTATCATGTCATTGATTCTGTTCAATTTGATGTTATGTTGTCAGTAAAGTTTCAGTACATCATAACATGGAGTGTCGAAATGAATTGTTTCTACAATGCACCAAGATGCAGATGCAGATGCATTGATTCAGTAATGGATCATAGTCATTTTTAGTTACTGTCGTGATTTATCGTATATGTGCTCTGCCACATTTAAAAAGAGTGTTTTCTTTGAGCAGGTAAAATTACAGGTACAGTTCATATATTTTACTGTAATAAAAGACAAAATTGTATGTGTTGTAAAACAATTTTTGTATGAAAAAAGGGTACTTTTGATAACATATACATGTTACTTTCATCATCTTTCTTACCTCAGTATGTTGAGTTGACAGTGTGGACTCTTCAGTCCATCAGAGAGCATCTTCACTCCTGAATCCTGCAGATAACTGTGACTCAAGTCCAGCTCTCTTAGTGAGTTTGGGGATTGTAGACATGAAGACAAACTTTTACAGCACTGACCAGTGAGATTACAGTCAGAAAGCCTGTAAACGAGGATGAAATGAAGTTCAGTATAGAAAAATGTTACCATCTACAGCGGGAGTGCCCATGAGCCACCTGACTCTAGCCACTTTTGCCATGGACTCTATTATTATTTGCCTGGACTCATCAGAAATCCACAAATGTTTCTTATTAGGGGGGATACTGCCCTCACACACTCCTGCTAACTGTTTGCCTGTAACCTTTTCTAACAGAGGATTGAATATCGCCATATAATGTATTTGACACTGCTGTTAGTTATATCAACATGATGAAGGCTGAAAAAATGTTTTGCTGATATTCTTAGGCTATATCCCCAATACCCTCAAATTCTATCTACATTAGCCCACTAATATAGCTTTACAGACCACTAATTAAGCTTTACTGCTTATTGTATATAAATAAGTCAGAATTATATATATTATATATATATATATATATATATATATTATATATATATATATATATATATGACAGCCGCAGCTCTGCACAGTTTTGCTCCAACCCTTATCAAACACAGCTGATCCAACTAATCAGGGTGTTCAAGACTACTAAACACTATAAAGCAGTTGTAAGGAGGTGGTTGGAGATAAAATCTACAGAGCTGTGGCCCTCCAGGAATGAGTTTGAGACCACTGATTTAGTGAGATGTTTATAAATAAAAATTTCCTTAAAATCTACTAGGGATGCACGATCAGGATTTTTGCAGCCAATACTGAGTACTGATCCCTTGTCATGGCTGCATTGTCTCACAACACAGTAGCTCAAAACACTGGATATACAATGTTTGAAACAAAGAAAGCATCATGTGTGTCAATAAACTGTATAAACAGAAGTCGCACTACATTTGTATATATTTTAACTGCTGTGACCCGTATGCAATGATCATTTATGCCTCCATGCATCATTTACCTCCTCACATGTTGTAGTGATGCTATCTGTATAACCCAAGTGCGCATGTAGATCTACGTCTGCTTGTAAACTCATAAACAAACTCTTGCGTTCAATTTAGAACTTAGTTCATAAGATTGGCCAGACTGGCGAGTACCGAGTCATTAAATGTGATTTTTGGCCGATACCGATCTCCGGTTGATCGATCGGAGCATCCCCAAAATCTACTACTAAGCTTAAATACAGTTAAAACTCGAAAGAGTTAAGTCATAAAACATTATTTGACTAAACCTAAAACTTCCAATGACCTTCTAATTCTGAAGTTACCCAGAAAAAAAGGTGCAAGAAAAGTTTCACTGCATACATTAGTACTTACAGAGCTTTTCTGCTGTTGACTACAGCTGGAATCAGTCTCCTTCTCCCTTCATCTGATGTGTTGTATTTCCTCAGATCAAACTCATTCAGCACCTCCTCTGATATCTGAAGCATGTAGGCGATTGTTGAGCAGTGAGATAGAGAAAGAAGATACTCCGAGTCATTGTTTGATTTGACAAACTCTTGAATCTCTCTGTAGAGAGTCTGATCCTTGATTTCCAGCAGACAGAGGAACAGATTGATGCATCGTTCAGCTGAGAGAGGTTCCTGACCCTTGAGTTTGTGTTTAATGTACTGTGTAATGTTCTTCAATGTCTCTAAGCTGTCTTCTATTTGTTTCAGAAGATCCTGTAAGAGTCTCTGATTAGACTCCAGTGAGATGCCCAGTAGGAACCGCAGGAAAAGATCCAGGTGTCCATTTTCACTCTGTAATGATTCATCAACTGATGACTTAAGTAGCTTATCCAGAAATCCTTCCTTCTGAAACAACTTCAGTGATTTATTATTGACATGGCAGTAAAACACATACAATGCAGCTAAAAACTCCTGAAAGCTCAAATGAATGAAGCAGTAGACTTTCCTCTGGTGAACCACTGATTCCTCCTTGAATATCTCAGTGCAAATCCCAGAGTACACCGAGGCATCCCTGACATCAATGCCGCTCTCAATCAGGTCCTCCTCATAGAACATCACATTGCCCTCCATTAGCTGTGTGAAAGCCAGTTCAGCAAGTTTCACAATCATGTCTCTGTTGGACTGCAGGAGTTTCTCTCGATCTCTCTCATCATACTTCTGATTCCTCATGCTGATCTGAGTCAGCAGGAAGTGGATGTACATTTCAGTCAGAGTTTGAGGGATTTCTGCTCCGTCATCTTGATTCAGGAGGTTTTGAAGCACAGTGGCTGAGATCCAGCAGAAGACGGGGATGTGACACATGATGTGGAGGCTTCTGGTTCTTCTGATGTGGGAGATGATTCTGCTGGCTTGATGCTCATCACTGATTCTCTTCCTGAAATATTCCTCCTTCTGAGACTCATTGAAGCCCTGAATCTCTGTCAGACGGCTGATGTATTCGGAGGGGATCTGATTAGTTGCTGCTGGTCTGGAGGTGATCCAGATGTGAGCAGAGGGAAGCAGATCTCCTCTGATGAGGTTTGACATCAACACATCCACTGATGAAGACTCGTTCACATCACTAACTCTCTCAATGTCTGAAAACTTCAGCGTCATTCTGCTTTCATCCAGACCATCAAAGATGAACACAACTTTACACTCCTCATAAATCTGTGAGTGCAGATCTTGAAGATCAGGATGAAAGTCCAGCAGAAGTCTGTGAAGACTGTACTGATGATCTTTAATCAAGTTCAGCTCTCGAAATGGAAGCACAAACATCAAATCTACATCCTGATTGGCTTTTCCTTCACTCCAGTCCAGAATGAACTTCTGCACAGAGACGGTTTTCCCAATTCCAGCGATGCCTTTAGTCAGAACAGTCTTGATTTTGTCCTTCACCTTATATTCTGATTGATGTAAGGGTTTGAAGATGTCATTGCAGTAGATTGGAGTGTCTTGTGTTCTGGCTGTTTTCTCCATCTGTAAAACCTCGTGTTCTTCATTCACTCCTTCACTCTCTCCCTCTATGATGTACAGCTGTGTGTAGATCCTGTTCAGAAGAGTTTGATTCCCTTCTAGCTTGATTCCCTCAAATAATCTCTCATACTTGTTTTTCATGCAGGTTTTGTGTTGATCTTTGATACTCTGTCTGATGAGGGTTTGATGGGGCATCACTGATCTGATCAAATACTCTGTCTTTAATCTGCATAAACAGTGAGATAAGCAGAACAATTTTAAACATGCATGAAGATAGGATTTTTAGTACAGCATGTTCTTAACTATGGTTTGAATTTACAACACATTTACATTAAAGTGTCAAATCAGCCAGCACCTAAAACAACTTATGTGATATAAATTGGAGTTAAAATCATTTAAATCTAGCCCATTTAATCCAGGAGCTTTGCTCAGAGATACTACATTTATATCTGAGCTCTTCCTTCCTGGGTAGTTTGTTTAAAGGCTATAGGCCTTTTTCTTTGGGTAGACAATCATGAATAGTTAAAATAAATATACTTAGACACACTGTATAATGTCAAACATGGATGGACTACCGGAAAACACATCTTTGTTTACTGCATTTATACTCACTCAGGGTCAGAGGTCACTGCTAAATCACTGAATTCAGGTGGGCTCAGGATAGATCTGTCACTCTTTATAGACACACAGCTGGGTTCTGGAGATTTCGCTTGGTGTGTCTGGACATCATTGAAGTCACTCTTTTTACAGGCAGCGCTGAAAGAACATTTCATATCTCCATATTTCAAGTAGTTTGACAGCATTTGGTCACTTCTGAATGATAAGCTAAACTGGGTGGCAACTTACATTTTCCTATATAATGCACAGAATAATAGAAATACACTAGTTTGGTCATCTTTCAAAATAAGATACAGACATAAGATGTGGAACATAAAGTCCACACTATCGGGGCTTAATAACTACTAGCTAGTTTGTAACTAAATTTGTGCTCACTTAGGAGACCACATGCACCACATGCTCTTTAGGCAAACCGTAGTTAGTAGGTCATAAGCTCTTTGTAAAGTCATGCATAATCGCACTGAATGTCGTAATGTCCATTAAAAACCATTTAAATCATTAAACTGCTTTAAAATTCTGCCACAAATGCATATATATATATATATATATATATATATATATATATATATATATATATATATATATATATATATATATATATATATATATATACATATATATACATATATATATATATACATATATATACATATATATATATATACATATATATACATATATATATATATATATATATATATATATATATATATATACACATATATATATATATACATATATATATATATATATATATACATATATATATATATATATATATATATACAGTTGAAGTCAGAATTATTAGCCCCCTTAAATTATTAGACCGCTTGTTTATTCTTTCCCTAATTTCCGTTTAAGGGAGAGATGATTTTTCCAACATGTTTCTAAACATAATAGTTTTAATAACTCATCTCTAATAACTGATTTATTTTATCTTTGCCGTGATGACTGTAAATAATATTTTACAACAAATTTTTAAGACGCTTCTATACAGCTTAAAGTGAAATTTAAAGGCTTAACTAGGTTAATTAAGTTAACTAGGCAGGGTAGGGGAATTAGGCAAGTTATTGTTTAACAGTGGTTTGTTTTGTAGACTATCAAGAAAAATATAGCTTAAAGAGGCTAATAATTTGTAGACATTCAAAACACGTCTTTATATGTTCAGGTTGTTGTTGAAGATGAAATATAACACGATTTAAACATGTTCGTTGGCTAGATGATGATTAACAGTCGTACAAACATCTTTACCGAAGCCTCTCTCTAACGTTACTTGACGGTTGGTCTCGCGCGTCCTTCATGTTTGTAGTTTATTTATGCTTTTCACCTGCTTTTGTAGTTTTAATCAAATTCACGTCAAACGCGCCATTGACATAAATACTCATTGTTGTAGCTTATTAAAAAATAAAAATAAGTAATAAGAAATAAAGTAATAAAGTAAAGTAATAAAAAATAAATAAAACAAATAAGACTTTCTCCAGAAGAAAAAATATTATCAGACATACTGTAAAAATGTCCTTGCTCTGTTGAACACCATTTGGAAATTAAATCGAAGGGGGCTAATAATTCTGACTTCAACTGTGTATATATATATATATATATATATATATATATATATATATATATATATATATATATATTTATATACATATAAATTAAATTAAAAAATCACAATTTTATAGTACATTAAATTACAGTCAGTAACTAACAGACAAGGCACATACCGGCATCGCAAGCCATGAATGTACGCGAAATATCAAAACAAAAGTTATTAAAACATTAAACTTGAATTTTTTTTTATATCCTACAGGGAGAAAAACTCATTTTTTTAAAAGAAATAAACTCTTCTTCTACAAACCGAAAAAAATGCATGATTTGGGAGGATACGAAGGCTTTGAAACACCTTTCAAACAGACTGAAAACACATTTTTTTCTGCTGTAAAGTTGGCCATTCTAACAGTGGGCTCAATTGAAATGTGCTCTATTATGGAGCCAGGACAAGCAGATTTTCGATGAATTGCAGTTTCAGTTACTTCCGTATTGGCTTCGGGAGGGAGAGCGGGAGGTTGCCACTTGTGTAATGTACAATACTGAGATATGCAAGATATGTAAATGGCCATTCAATCAATATACACATACAGTTAAATCAAAGATTTTAAACTCACTCAGGATCAGAGGTCACTGCTTCGTCACTGAATTCAGGGGGGCTCAGGATAGATCTGTCACTCTTTATAGACACACAGCTGAGATCTGAAGATTTTGTTTTGTGTGTCTGAACATCCTTATAGAGACTCTTTGTACAGGCAGCGCTGCAAGAACATTTCATATCTTCATTCTTCAAATGTTTTGACAACAAAGTCCTAAAACTGCTAGGGAAAACTGGGGTCAACTTTTATTTTACTACATAACACACAGACTAATAGAAATACACTAGTTTGGTCATCTTTTAATACAAGATACAAACATAGGTGCACCAATTAATAATACAACTGATATGTTTTCAGTAAAAAGGACAAGACGATCATTTTAAATTAAACACACAAAGTCAGAGTGTTACAACTGTCCTTAGAGTTTTGAAGCAAGTTTATGACCTAGCTACACATATATGTAATGTACATTATTGAGATATGCAAGATATGTAAATGGCCATTCACTCAATATATATATACAGTTAAATCAAAGTTTTTAAACTCACTCAGGGACAGATGTCACTGCTCCGTCACTGAATTCAGGAGGGCTCAGGATAGATCTGTTACTCTTTATAGACACACAGCTGGGTTCTGGAGATGCTGGTTTGTGTATGTGCACATCCTCCTCCTTCTCTCTCTTCTCGCAGACACTCATTTTAAAAGAACTGCAGAACAAATAAAATAAAAGAAATACTAATAAAAAGAATTCAGATGCAAAAACCTCTAAATATCGTCTAAAATTTCCATCAAAAATGAACATTTTTCTCAGCCTCCTTCGTTTATGTTGAGATATTTCACATTAAAGACCAGGAAAAAGGCTTATTTTTTTGCGATAAAAGTGATATTATGGAACATACACACAGGAGCCTGATAAAAATGCTAATTTTAGAGAAAAAAATCAGACGCCAATTAGAGGTTTTTGCATCTTTTTTTTTTTTTTATTAGAATATGCAAAAATCATACAAATACAAGAAAACATCAACAGATAACAAATACAAAGCAACAAAACAAAAACAAAACAAAAACATCAACAATATAGTCAGGTACTGGTATGTGCGTGAGTGTGTGCGTGTGAGTGTGTGTATGCATGTAAAGGTAACTTGGTGGACAGGTCAGAGTACATACATTAGGAACAATAACAGTCAATAAAGGAAGCAAGTGTCACAGATACAGATAAAACATATAGAAAGAAACCAGTCAGAGGTAGGGAGTAACAACAATGCTTATTAATGTATGATAGTAAATATGAGAGTAAAAAGAGAGAAAGGACAACAGTAATAACTGATAACAATAATAATAAATCACAAGTGCTACACCAACTACTACTACAGAAAATTACTTATATAACAACTACTACTGCTTCTACTACAGCCACAACCACGACTACTACTACTAAAGTGTCTACTAATACTGATACTACTACAACGACTACCACTACTGATACTACTATTGCTACAACTAATACAACAATGTCTACAGCGACTACTACTACTACTACTACCACTACTACTACTACTACTACTACAATCACTTCTACTACATCTACATCAACAACATCTACTACTGATATTACTACACCAACAACGACTACTACTACTACTACTGTAACAACCACACCATTACTACTTCTGCTACTACTATACCAATGACATCTACTACTACATGAACTACAACTTCTATAATCTCCGTAACAATTACTCAATAACAATCGATACTATTACAATGACTACTACTTCAACTACTACTACTACTACTACTACTACTACAACTACTACCATTACAACTACAACAACTGCAAGATTAATAATGATAATGGTATGAATACTTGTAATAATGATAATGAAAAGATAACAGGACAAGTCAGAACAGCAATAATAATAATGATAACAAAAAATAAAAGTAATACCATTTATGACAAAGATGTCGAGGAAAGGGGAGGATGGGAAATCAGGGAGAGGACAAGTAATAATAATAATAATAATAATAATAATAATAACAATAATAATAAATAATAATAATAGTAGTAAGTAGTAAGTAGAAGGGGAAAGAGAGGAAAAGAGAAAATAAACTAATAATAATAAACAAAAATTAATAAAATAATAATAATAAAAATAAATAAATAAATAAATAAATAATAAAATAAAAAAACAGAAAATGAAGGGGAGGAGTCGAAGAAAAAGAAAAGAAACAAAAAGAGTGAAAAATAAAATAAAATAAATAAAGTTCAGCAAACAAAGCAATGAGAATAAGCAAAAAAAATTAATAATAATAATAAAAACTAAATAAATAAAAAGGAAAACACTATATCAATGCTAATTATGAATTATACAAACCGACATGGAAGAATAATATTAAAGATATGTATGATAGATTATTAACTTGGTTTTTGCATCTAAAGTCTTCAATTATCTTTGTTCATTTAAGAGGAATAATCAAACATGAAACAATTCTATTCGTTTTCACTCCAAACAATATTTAAAATATATTAAAGGTGTGGATAAATCACCTGCCAATAGTTTTGTAACTCCTAGTATCAATATACAAGCTGTGTCTGAATCTGTTGTGTTCTTCAGGACTATGGCCTTTAGGATAAACAATTTTAAACTTTTAACCTTTAACTATGTTAACCTTTCACATTTAGACCAACAACAATTATTTGTGATCATGTACCACAAACTAGTCACAAGAGTCGTCGATTTTTTTTTTAAATAGAGCAGAATTTATGCATCATCTGAAAGCTTTTGGTTGGATATTTAATTGAGATACAACTATTTAAATATCTGTGTGTGCGTGTGTGGTATAGTAGCATTTAAAGATGTCTAGATTAACTGCTTGAGAATGTTCTTTAGAAATCAAAGACTAAGTTTTGATACATATACAGTAGGAAAATTACTAAATATCTCCATAAAATCTTTACTGCATATATAGTGATACTTGAGAACGAAAAAAAATCGATCATTTTGACCCATATGCTATATTTTTTTGAAATATCTCCTACAAATATAGCCTAATCATGCAAAATAAGACCGTTTGTGTTCAAGAGTCACACGAATTAGCACATCATTAGCTTCTTTTTTAATTGTCGTATTTATGAGTTTCGTTAAAAGAAACAATTAAGTATTTAGAAGAGACTAAAGCGTTTGAGCAATACCTTTACGTTTGATTAGGATTGATTTACCTGTGCGTGAGAATGAATCAGGAAGTGTGCCAGTTCAGACTTTCCTGTCTCAGCAACCTAAGACATCTAACACAAACTTCTTTCGGATCATAATGCCTCCAAATTGCAAAATAAACGGATCTGTCCTTAAACTAATCTACATTATTTACAAACTTTCTCTTTTGTTGTCGACGTGTACCGTCCTTGATATTACAAAATGGCATCTGGAAAAAACCGTTTCACTTTTGAAATCACATGACGTAGCAGCCAGGTGTACTGTCTCTATGGGGCGTCTGCAGACTTTTTTGACAGTCACAAGACTTGCGCATTTATTAAATGAATATAGAGAAAATAAAAGCTACAACAATGAGTATTTATGTTAATGGCGCGTTTGACGTGAATTTGATTAAAACTACAAAAGCAGGTGAAAAGCATAAATAAACAACATGAAGGACGCGCGAGACCAACCGTCAAGTAGAGAGAGGCTTCGGTAAAGATGTTTGTACGACTGTTAATCGTCACTATCTAGCCAACGAACATGTTTAAATCGTGTTATATTTCATCTTCAACAACAACCTGAACATAATATAAGTATAAGTATTATAGTATAAGTATGCAAAAGGGAGGAGGGGGAGACTGCAGCTTTGGATCCAGGCAGATCTACATGGGCAAAAGGTTTCTTTTCAGATCCATCATAAATTATGACAGGAATGAACAGACCGACCTCTAGTGATGAGATAAACGTACTGCATTTGAATCAAACTCATTGCACTGAGTTCAATTCTGAAGGACGGTTAACCCCAATTAAACACACCTGAACCAGCTTATATCAAGCTTGTGTACTAGAAACTTCCAGGCAGGTGTGTTAAAGGAAGTTGGAGCTAAACTATGTAGGACATCGGCTCTCCAGGACCAAGTTTGGAAACCCCTGTTTTTTTGCTGGCAGATTGCAAATATCTATTACAAATATATTATGCTGAATAATTCTACTTTTCAACTAAAGGTTGCAATTATTGAGACTATATTGTTCAGGCTCAAGAAAACGAATTGAGTGAGAATGTTGTCATGAAATGTAATATAGCCTATGGAACGATGCAAAGTGCACATACCTTACGTGTCAATGTTTTGAGTTCACATAACTGTCATATATGCACATATATTTCAAAATATTGCAAAAAATGTCAATTTACAACATTTTTTTTTGCAGCCACGGGAATTACAAATGTACATTTATGTCCAAATATTTAACTATTATTTTATATGTGATCTTGTCTGGCCAAATATCAGATTTACGTATGGGAATACTTGGTATAAATTCCGAGAAGCAGAGTAACTCATTTTCTTTTTTTTACTTAAGATATTTTGCATAAGTTTTTGTTTCATTCTTTTTCAATTGTTAAACCAAAGGTTACATTTGCCTGATTATAACAAATGCTTTGGAAACATTTAATGAATATATAATATGCCTTAAATCTGGTGTCATTATTACTTTGAAAAATTTTGTTTTAATATTTAGCATTTCAGGACAACATGGTGGCACAGTAGTTAATGCTGTCGCCTCACAGCAAGAAGGTCTATAGTTCGAGCCTCGGCTGGGTCAGTTGGCATTTCTGTGTGGAGTTTGCATGTTCTCCGTGTTCGCGTGGGTTTCTTCCTGGTGCTCCGGTTTTCCCCACAGTCCAAACACATGCCACATGCGGTACAGGTGAATTGGGTAGGCTAAATTGTCCATGGTAAATGAGTGTGTTTGGATGTTTCCCAGAGATGAGAAGCCCCAGGTTGCGGCTGGAAGGGCATCCGCTACGTAAAACATATGCTGGATAAATTGGCGGTTCATTAAACTGTGGCGACCCCAGATTAATAAAGTGAGCTGAAAACAAAATGAATGAAAGAATGTTTAGCATTTCATTATAGTTTCAATAAAAGGCATCTTTAACTACACTAGTTGTTTGAAACTAAGGTGTGCAGGATGAATGTAATTTTATTATCATTATTGTTCTTTTATATACAGTTGAAGTCAGAATTATTAGCCCGCCTTTGAATTTTTTTTCCTTTTTTAAATATTTCCTAAATGATGTTTAACAGAGCAAAGAAATTTTCACAGTATGTCTGATAATATTTTTTCTTCTGGAGCAAGTCTTTGAACTGTCTTTAACAGTTTTTAATTTTTTAAAAGCCATTTTAAGGTAAAAATTATTAGCTCCTTTAAGCACATTTTTTCCGATAGTCTACAGAACAAATCATTGTTAATCAATATCTTGCCTAATTACTCTAACCTGCCTAGTAACCCTAGTTAAGCCTTTAAATGTCACTTTAAACTGTACAGAAGTTTCTTGATAAATATCTAGTCAAATATTATTTACTGTCATCATAGCAAATATAAAATAAATCAGTGACTAAAATTAGTTATTAAAACTATTATGATTAGAAATGTGCTGAAACAATCTGCTCTCTGTTAAACAGAAATTGGGGAAAAAAGTAAACAGAGGGGAGAATAATTCAGGGGGGGGGGGGGGGGGGGGAAGAGTAATACTTCTGACTTCAACTGTACATGTAATTTTTTACATCTAAAATTCTATTTTTGGCATGGTGAGCTCTGCTGTGACGTGAATTTCCCTTTTGGATTAACAAAGTCTAACAAACAAACAATAAAAATTGACATTTAGAGTGAAAATTTATTTTTTAAGTCTATTTTGTTCTATTATTTTATGAAAACGGTTCATAACACAGCCAAAACACTAATATTCCCCTGGCAACATTTGTTACAATATTTAATCATCCATTAATTACAGTTCAAATGTAATGGTAATGATTAAAATGTAACATTAATGTCAGCGTGTGTCTGTTTTAAGGCTGTTATGATTTGAATGCAGTAAAGTCAGGCCAGATTTAAACATCAGATTTAGAATGTCTGGAACAAGCTCTGATGTCATCGACATTCTAAACCTGTCAGCTCACTTGACTCTAAAACTTTGCATTACTTCAGTCAGAATTGTTCAGTTTGAGTCGAAATATTGTGAATTTTGAGCACAAAAATGATGGACCCAGCATTTGAGGTGTTCAATGAAGTCCGTTTACAGGGCGAGCACACAGACGTCGACATCAATGTTCACGGGAAAGTGTTTCGAGTGCACAAGATCATTCTTTGTGGCTGCAGTCCTTATTTCAGGTGAGATCAGACCCACGCACAATGTCTTATTTAGGTTTTAGGTCCAAAATTGTTCATAATTTACATTAATAATGTGTATATTCAAGTTATTTCATTTTCTAATGATACATTTTTGTGTTGTTGTGTTTAATAAGGACAGTTCATCACATCTTAGGTGATTACAATAGAAATACATGTTAAAACTGTGGTTTGATGTATATAGGGCTGGGCCGATAAACAATATTAGTATTATATATCGAATCGCAATATAATTGATGTTAATAACAATGATAAGCTCTGGACTTTTACTCTATATTAATCCAGGAGCCAATCACACAGCAGAAATGTGCCACAATGGGAATCTAGAAGTGTGTGGATATTAGAGATGCACAGAATTTTAGGTCAGGTTAAATAGGTGATGCTGTTTAATGGAGCCTCTAATTTGTGGCTTCAGTCACTGTTGGGATGCTCTTTTAAATCTGTAAGAATAAACAACTGATACTGAAATATACAGTTGAAGTCAGAATTATTAGCCCCCCTCGATTTTTTTCTTCTTTTTTAAATAATTCCCAAATGGTGTTCAACAGAGCAAGGACATTTTTACAGTATGTCTGATAATATTTTTTCTTCTGGAGAAAGTCTTATTTGTTTTATTTTGGCTAGAATAAAAGCAGTTTTGAATTTTTTATGAACCATTTTAGGGACAAAATTATTAGCCTCTTTAAGCTATATTTTTCTTGATAGTCTAAAAAACAAACCACTGTTATACAATAACTTGCCTAATTCCCCTAACCTGCCTAGTTAACTTAATTAACCTAGTTAAGCCTTTAAATGTCACTTTAAGCTGTATAGAAGCATCTTAAAAATTTGTAGTAAAATATTATTTACAGTCATCACGGCAAAGATAAAATAAATCAGTTATTAGAGATGAGTTATTAAAACTATTATGTTTAGAAACATGTTGGAAAAATCATCTCTCCCTTAAACGGAAATTAGGGAAAGAATAAACAAGCGGTCTAATAATTTAAGGGGGCTAATAATTCTGACTTCAACTGTATATCGCTGTTGTTTAATATGAAATAAAGAATTAATCAAGATTGCCATAATCGCCTATCCCTAGTTTGATGTCATTAAAGATTGATATTTTAATTGGAAAACGTAGAAACAGTTCTACATTTGATATAAAAATTTGATATAAAGGGTTTATGCAAATATGTTTCTTTCAAGGTTTTGTATTAGATCGTAAAATTAGTTGGAAATCACACAAAAAAAAAAAGTTCCACCAAAATTGGTACAAACTGCATCTTGGATACTAAATCAATGAATATAATACACTTATATTGCCACACTGTAAAACCCAATAAGTTAAGGCAACTCAAACCATTTGAGGTAACCGATTGCAGCAAACCATTTAAGTTAAAAAAATAATGCTAATGATTGCTCTGAACTTAATCCATTTGAGTAAACGAAGGAATATGAGCACAGCAATACCCAATAAATGGAGAACTCAAACCAGCTGAGTACTGTAAAACCCAATAAGTTAAAGCAACTCAAAACATTTGAGGAAACCGATTACTACAAACTATTTTAGTTAAACTAATTTATACGAGTACTGTGAACTTACTCCATTTAAGTTGAAGTAATGAGGTGTTTAACTCATTACCTTCAACACTAAAGTCAAAACTCTTTTCAAATGAGTAAAATTAACTTCCAGCCAGTTTTGAGTTCACTACACTCATTTCACTTGATGAAGTTGCCTGTTGGGTTTTACAGTGAAGCACTTTTACAATGTAGATTGTGTCAAAGCAGCTTAACATAGAAGTTCTAGTAAATTGAAACGGTGTCAGTCCAGTTTTCAGAGTTTTCATGCGGGTTTTCTTCAAACTAAATGAAATTAAGTATCTTCATAAAGCAACACTGTTTAAATGTGCTCCACAGGATGCTTTTCTCCACACAGTGGACCAAACCAAAGCAGCATTTCAATTTCCCTGAAATGTCGTCGGACACCATGTCTCTGATTATTCAACACGCCTATGCAAGACCCGTCCAGATTACTGAAGACAACGTGTGCGAGCTCTTAGTG